CGCCAAAGGGACAGGAGCATCTGCTGCACGAGGAGGAGCTGGAATGTTTTGGGGTACCTGTGTGAATACCTGCCTAACAGGAGGGAAGGAGGAGGGAGCCGGGCTCTTCCCAGTGGAGTCCAGTGACAGGACTAGCAGCAAGAGGCACAAAGTGGCACCCAGAGTTTGGGGTTTCTTTGCAGGGAGGCTGATCACAGGGTGCATGGAATAGGCTGCCTAGAGGGGCTGTGGTCCCTCCAGCTGGGTCCACAGCTGTGTGAGGGGCAGAAGGCTCCCAGAGCCCCACCAGCCCCAGCCCTGCTCAGCCCAGTCAGACTTGGCTGAAGCAAGCTGTCCAAGCCAGTGTCCAATCTGGTATAAATATCTCCTAGGAGGGATCATCCCTCTGCAGTCCTTCTTGCCAGCATGGCCTTCAGCTCCAGGGTACTCTTGCTCTGGCGGAATTTCCCCTTTAAAGTCCCAGTGGCTGCAGCATGAGCAGCTGGAGCTCATTCACAAAGGCCGTGCTCTCCAGCTCCTTTGTCCCTTGCAGCAGCCTCCAACCAGAGCCACTGGGTCCCTGAAAGCAGCTCCCGTGAAATCTGAGGGCTGCACGCCCTGCCAGTGTTGTGAGCACTGTGCTGCCTGCCCTGAGCCCTGAGCGGCACTGCTGTCACATCCCCTCGCAGTCCCTCCCAGGGACAGCATCAGAAACATTGCTTCCTGCTCCAGCCCTGCCTTGCTGCCCTTCCAGCAGGTATTGGGATGGAATCACAGAATTTCTGGCTGCTTTAGGTGGGAAGGGACATCCAGTCCCATCCACTGCCACAGGCAGGGACACATTCCACATACCGAGCTGGAGTTCACCCACAAGGAGGCTGAACCTCTCCCAGCTGCCTCAGGAAGCTTCATCCCCATCCTCTTGGCCGGGGCCTGAAACATGGCCCCCCATACTGCCCCCCTCCCCCCACAATGCCCCCCTCCACCCCATACTGCCCCCCTCCCCCCACAATGCCCCCCTCCACCCCATACTGCCCCCCTCCCCCCACAATGCCCCCCTCCCCTCACAGTGTTCCCCTCCCCCCCACAATGCCCCCTCCCTCTCACAGTGCCCCCTTCCTGCCCACGATTCCAGCCCTGGCCCACCCAGCAGCACCCTGTGTCCCACTCCTGGTACTCCCACGCGTGTGGCCATATCCTCCCACAAAGGGGCTGTGTCTGTCCCTGTCCCAGCTCCAGCCTGGCCCCATCCTGGGGGGGGGGGCTGCTGCCCTGCTCATGTCCCCACCTGTGGGCAGGTGGCTGCAGCCCCCCTGTGCCTCCCTCACTGCTCCCATCCCTCTGCCTCATTTGCTCCCACGCCTGCTGGAGCTATGAGCATCTCATCCTCACCCTGAAGAACACGGAGTGTCACCTCCTGACCCAGAACACACGCAGCCTTGTTCCCAGTGCTGGGCGGTTTCTGCTGCTGGCCCAGCTGCTCCTGCCCAGCTGGATCACTTTCCAGTGATCCCTTTCCCTATTCCCAGTGAGTCTGTTTGTCCCTTCCTGGTAAAAAACTCATTCCACCACTCTCAATGAGTCTGTTTCCCCATCCCTGGTGAGACCTTTCTTCATTCCTGATAGCCCATTCCCCATTCCTGCTGTGCCCATTCCCGGTGTGCACGTTCCCAGTTTACCCAGTCCCTGTTTGCTGTTTCCCTGTTTGCACAGCCCCCGCTGCCCCCACCCCGCACTCGCTCACGCCTCGGTTTTCCACCACTTTTTATTACAAAATCGGTGCGGTCCGGTGGCGGGGCCGGTTCCGCTCGCACTCGCCCCAGCGCTGGGGCAGAGGTGGGTTCAGCCCGTGCCGGTGTTGGTGCCGAGCGCCCTACAGGGCAGAGGCCGAGGCGGTGGCTGGAGCCGGTGCAGCCCCAGGGTTCCGGGGGGTTTGGGGTTATCCGGGAGTTCTGAGGGGATCAGCGCCCCACGGCGTCGAGGATGCGGCGATTGGAATCTGCGCGGGCGCGCTGGCTCTGGGCGCGGGCGAGCAGCAAGAGGTGCCGCAGGAGGTGGAAGGTGAGGTCGATGGAGAGCGGCGGCTCGTCCCGCCGCCCTCGCCACGGCTCCGAGGGCAGCGGCGCCAGCGGCGGCCAGAGCGGGTGGTCCTGAGCCCCGATCCCGGCGGCCGGGATGGAGCCGTCGGTGGCGGCGGGGCGGGCGGCGGCGGGCGGCGGGCGGGCGAGCAGCAGCAGGAGGGTGAGCAGTGCCCGCCGCATCCTCGGTCCCTCTCACCTACGGGGCCAGGGATTCAGCGCCGCAGCTGAGACCGGGGCGGCGGCGGAAACCCGACGGGAATCGCCGTCCCGGCGGCGCGGAGCCCCTTCCGCTCCTCCCGCCCCGTTCCGTCCCCTCCGCGCGCCCCCGGCCCCCGTGCTGTCCCTGCCCGGTTCCCCAGCCCCGTCCCGTACCCGGTGCGCTGTGCCCGTGCCCTGTTCCTGCCGGTGCTGGCGGCCGAGCGAGAGCGATCGGTCCCGCGGGAGCTGAGCCGGCGGCGCGCCCGGGATTATATCGGTCCGGGAGCCCGGGCTGACGTCAACGCCGGACACGCACCGGGGGGCGGGAGGGGGGGGAGAGGGGGGCACCGGGTGGCGGGGAGCGGGCACCCGGCGGCGGGACGGGGTGGAGGGACACAGGGACGGAGCGACAGACACCGCTCTGCTCGGTTTCGGGAGCCACCACTCCGGTTCTTTTCTGTCGCCCACCAAAGAGGCACGGCGGGACCGGGGCCGGTGACAGCAGGTGCCTTGGGCCGTGCTAATTCTCGCTTCCCCGGCTTCCCCAGTTTTTCCCGGTCCCCCTCCCGGCTCTGCCGCATCTTCAGTCTCATTCTCCGCCGCTGTCCGCGGTGCTGAACGGGCGCGATGCGCTGGGGCACCGGGGCCGGTGACCGGGGCCGGTGAGCTGCACAGGTGAGCTCCCGGTGAGCCCTCAGTGAGATGTACCGGGCTGAGCCGTGGCTTCTCGGCGTGGAACCCTCGCGTTCCCGGGCGGAACGGCCGCGCCGAACAGCGGCGGCAAGCAGGGACCTGGGGCGGCGGGGGGGATCCCTGGGCGGGGGTGGGGACACCCCGAGCACCGGGAGATCCGGGACAGGACGGTCACGGCTGGGACCCCCAGCCTCGCTCTGGTTCAATGTCCAGAGCGGGCGGGGCCGAGGTCAAACCGCGGGGCCGAGGCCGCAGACGCCCCGAGCGCAGCGGCGGCACCGGCCAAGTCCTGTGAGTCATAGAATGAAGGCACCGGAGCCGGCAGCGCCGTGCTGGATGCAGGGTGTTCCATCGGGGCACCGCCACCGCTGCCAAGTGGTGAGGTGGCTGCTGGGGCTCCACACTACTGTTGGCAGCCCCCCTGAGTGCACCACACTGCCGGCATTCCCTCCGAGTGCGCCACACTTCTGCCAGAGCGCCCCGAGTGCCCTTCACGCTGCCAGAGCCCCCCGAGTGCCCTGCACGCTGCCAGAGCCCCCCGAGTGCCCTGCACGCTGCCGGCAGAGTGTAGCTGAGCTGATCCTCAGCCCGATGCTGGTGCAGGTGCCAGACCAGGCTCCTTCCACAGTGCCAGTGTGGGGCAGAGCCGGGCACAGAGGCTCAGCCCGGCCCCTGGCACGGCGTGTCCCCCCCGGGTGGCACAGGGGTGGAGGGGCACGGCCCTGCCCGCGGCGAGCAGCACACGGGGTCATGGCCCCATGACGTGATCCGGCACGAAGGCTGGCACCTGGCACCGCTTCCTGCAGCGGCAGGGCAGAGCCCTCAGCAGGGGCTGGGCTCAGCCCCCCGAGCCCTGGCAGCCCCACGCTGCGGCGGCTGCTCCTGGGGACAAGTGGCTCATTCCACGTGGCTCTTGCCATGCTCGCAGCTCGCTCAGTGCTGACAGCGAGAGCCTCCTGCACTCCCAGAGGGAGCTGCAAGAGGCTCAGCACCTCAGAGCTGCAAATTCCTGCCATCCACAGCACCCACCCCACTGGCTGTAGAGAGCTTGAGCCCCACACAGAACTCGAGGCCCCCCCCAAGTACTGGTGACATCTGTGCATGGCCCCATCACCTGGCCCCAGCCTTGTGCTGCTCCACTGAGCACTGCTGGGGGGGAAGAGGGCTGCAGCTGCAGATCCTGCCTGTGCAGGATTTGCCTCCTTTGTGTTTTTGGCTGGAGCAGCCCCAAAGCTGGGCTCAGCACAGAACCAGACCGTGGGGAAGATGAGGGTGGAGGACAGACAGTGAATCCCCTCCATGAAGGCCATGCAGGCAGAGCCCAGGTGGGGCTGGCAGCATGGGGGTGGCTCTGTCCAGCTGTGTGGGGCTGCAGTAGCACAGGCCAGGCCTCAGGGGTACGCAGAGGTGAGATGAACCACCGTGGTCCCACCAGCTCCAGTTGGAGCCCCTGGTCAGGGTGTGCTGGGCAGGGACACTGTGGGAGCTGGATTGTGTCTGCTCACTGCCATCGTAGGGTGAGCATGGGGACACGTCCCCAGGGGCAGCAGCACAGGCGGTGGCAGCTCCATGAGGCTTCTCTCTGGCACGACAGGCAGCCTTGTCTCAGACATGGCACAGGTGGATTGTGACCCTGTCCCAGACCCAGCTCCAGTCCTATCCCCAACCCTTTCTGAACCCTCCCCGGATACACAGCCCTGCATCAAGCATGCCCTGACCCAGGGGGGACTCCGCCTCCAGCATCAAGACTCTGCCTCCATCGACCTCATTTCACTGCTCTGCAGCTGTGGAGGCACCATCACAGCCCATGGAACAGCTGCAGTGGGATCTGATGATGACCTAAACCCCCACCCACCCTCTGCCAGAGTCCTTTTCCCTCTCTAGCCAGTGGGACAGACCACCCCAGCAGCCTGCAGTCCCTAACCCCATGCTGGATGCTTTGAGATGAGGCAGAGTGGACCTGCTGATCCATAACAGAACAGTTGCTCTGGAACCACATCTTCAGGGCCTGGGAGGCCTGCTGGGCCACAAGCCCCAGGGCCATGGCAATCAAAAGTGAAGACCACCATTTATTGATGCTCCAACTGTCCACGGCAGAGCCACAGCAAACCCCATTTTCAGGGGGAGCACCCCCAGCCTGCAGTGACCTCAGTTCTGTGCCCATGGCACAGCCAGCCCAGGGCCAGCCCAGGGCCATCCCTGCTCCATTTCTGCTCCTCTTTTCCCTCAGGATGTGCCATGGGGGAGGTCAGAGTGACACTCCAGGCAGGAGCACCCTGTGTGCAGGTGAGGGCTTGGGAGTGGTTGAGCACAGATGAAGTGCGTGCTGGACAGAGCTGCTGCACAGCACGGCTAAAGCAGATCCAGCCTGTCCCGGCACCATCTTCTCCCTGGGGCAGTGAGGGCTGTGGCCACAGAGGATGGTGTTCCCCCGAGAAGAGTGGAATGGTTGCTGCCAGGACCCTGCGTGTCCCAGCCTGTCCACGGCCACGTGTGCCCACTCTGCAGGGTCAGGCAGTGCACAGGCTGGGGACAGCCATGGGACACGGCTCCTGCCTCACATCCGATTCGCTTTCCAGGACAGGTAGCAGTTCCAGACGATGGCAACACATTGGACAACAGCCAGCCTGGGGACAGAGGGGACAGGGTCTGCAGCTGCTGGCTCAGGGGACAGGGACTGGGCGCCAGGGCTGCAACACCTACCTGTGCTGCAGAGGCACGAAGTAGAAGTTCGCAATTTGCACGGGCGGCCAGATCTGGGCAGAGAAGGGGAGGAGCAGTGAGGAACCCTGCAAGAGTCCCCACCCCACACCCACCCCTGCCTGGCGCTCAGGGTGTCCCAGAGAGTCCATGGCAGCCTCATTGAGGAGATGGGACAGGGACAGGGACACAGATCTGCCAGCACTCACACAGTAATTGGTCATCAGGGCATCCATGTAGTCCTGCAAGAAAAAGGAGGTGTGAGCACTCAGAGGGCCCCCATCCCTGCCACTGGTCCCCCAGCTCCACACTGCTGGGCAAGGAGCCTCTGCAGCCCAGCCCGTGCCTTCCCACAGCCACGAGGGTGGCAGGGAGAGGGTGACCAGAACCATCCCCACGGAGAGCCCTTTGTGCCACAGCCAGGGCACAGGGCAGATGGCTTGTCTCCCAGTGGGGGCTGAGCCCCTTTCCAGCTCAGTGCTCCCCCAGTCCCCTCCTGGGCACCACGTGGCAGAAGTGGAGAAGGGCAACTGAGCTTTGGGAGTCCGAGGTGCTGCCTTGTCCTCACGCCACAGCCACGGCCGTGTCGCATCCCTGTCCCACGGCAGCAGGACAAGTCCCTCATGCAGGCTGGCTGTGACTCAGCCAGGCCGGGCTCCTCCTGGCGCTGGCCAGCAGCCCAGGACGGGCTGAGCGGGTGATGGATGCTCTGCTGACGCTTCCTCTGCGTGGGGAGAGGCGGATGCACCCCAAGCCAGGGGTGAAGGTGCTGCCAGCGCTGCTGCCCAGCCCCCAGCCCATCACCCCCTTCCAGGTCAAGGCTTGCCAGGAGCCACAGCTTGCACGCATCACCAACCACGACAGGATTCCCTGGGGAAGGCAAGGCAAGATCCATGGCATGAGCTGGTCAGGATGCAGCAGGGGAAGATGGATGTGAACGCTCAGAGTGCTGCCCGTGCCCACGATCTGTTCACGTGTGCCCTTAGGGTGCCTCAGAGCACCCCATACCCTGCCTGTGGCTTGCATAGAACCTGACAAAAGCAGAGGTGATGTGATCCTGCCCCGGGATCTGCTTCCTGCACCCTGGGGCAGGATAAGGGACACGTACTGGCAGCCCAGTGTGTAGCGGGCTAGTGACTGGGTGCCCCCATGCAGAGGAATGAACCCTGGGTGGTGGCACTCAGGCAGAGCTCCAGCCTGGCTGGGGCTGCTCACATACAGCTCCAGCAGCATCAGTGACAAAGGCTGGTGTTGCCACTCCTGGCAGCCACTCGACCACCCCAGCGTGCCTCATCCTGTGGCAGGTGGGCACCCACTCCCCAGTGACTCACTCTGGACATGCTGACGCAGTGTTCACACCGGTTTCCAGCAATTACTGTTAATGGGAGTCATCTCCGTAATTGCTCTGGAGACCCAGCCAGGAGCATGGCTGGACAGCATGCCCATGGCACCCGTGTCTGGCCCAGGTAAGACTCCAGTACTCACCCACAGGACACCCATGCCAGAGGAACTGGCCCTGGCACCAGTACTTGGAGTGGCAGCACTGGGCAGCCAACACTGGGACCCAGTGCCTGGGCATGGGCACAGATACAAACGGGAGCAGCCATCAGGGCCAGCCCACAGGGAGGAGCTCCCAGGGCTCCTCAGCGCTGCCCAGGACAGCAGCACATACCTGCTGGATCTTGGACCAGTTATCCTGCACCGACAGCCCGTTCACGGCCCCTGTGACAGCCAGGAAGCAGCCAAGGAAACACGGCGCGAATCCCCCCTGTGAGAGGAGCCACGGCCAACGCTGAGGAGCTTGTGGTGCTTGGAGTCAGGCTGGCCATGGGCAGTCTCTGCAAAAATACCCACCCCAGCCCTCCACTCCAGCGAGGCTGGGCCCAGCTCAGGCACTGGGCTCTCAGAGCAGCTGGAAACCTGCCACAGGGACATGGCTGTCCCCACTGTCCCATCCTGCTGCCCCAGTCTCATGCAACACCCTCACCCATGTCACACCAACCTGGTCCAGGATCATTTTCTTCACAGCCACAACTTTTGTATTCCCTGGGACGAGCCAATCCAGGATCCTGTACCAGCTGCCCACAACAGGGCCCTGCAGGAGCCGGGGGTGAGGAGCAGCATCTGCCTCACTGGTCACAGAGGTCAGGGCTGGGGAGGCTCCAGGGCTGGTTACATGGCCCTGCTCCAGCTCTGGACCACAAACACAAGCTTGTCCTATGCTGCTCCTGCTCCATGGAACTGGCCCTGCCCATGGCTGCTGGAGGTGGCACCAGCATGGCCCAACTCACACTGCACCACCACTGTCCCACTCTGAAGGAGGCCAAAGGAGCCTCCCATCCCATCCCATCCCATCCCATCCCATCCCATCCCATCCCATCCCATCCCATCCCATCCCATCCCATCCCATCCCCACTCACCACAAAGCAGAAGCCGATGCCCATCATTTTCAGGGTGCGGGGGCAGTGGTGCCCGTGCAGTCCCCGCTGCTCCACCAGCTGCTGTGCAATCACATCCCCAGCTCCCATGAGGGCCCCTGCGACCAGTACAGCCCATTTAGGCAGGAGAGACCCCCTGCCCCCTGCTGGGCCCCCTGCCCCAGCATTACTGCTGCTGACCCCTGCCCCAGGATGCCTGAGCCTGCCCCAGCCCTGCCAGCTCTGTCCCGGCTGCAGCTCCCCACTGCCTGCACCAAACCCCATGGCACAGGCATCCCACCCTGCCAAGAACCTCAGGCCCCAGGACACGGCAGCCTCTCTGGTCAAAACGGTGTCCAGCTGCAGCTCTCTGTGACCCAGGGAGCTGAGCTGTCACCCAGGGTCCACAGTGCCTAGGGCTCTCAGTGCAGACCTTGCCCAACTGCTGCCCGTGATCTCCACTGCAGCTTTTCCCTCAGCACCCCCAAACCTCTTCCTGGACACCGGGCAGGCTCTGCCGACTGTGATCCCCTCCCTGGAGAGCAGCTCTCTGTCTGCGTCCCCCACCCCAGCAGCCAGGATGGGCAGAATGTGCTCCCCAGTGCCCAGGCTGTCCCAGCCCCTTGCCACAGCTGGCTTCTGGCACAGCTCCTGGCCCTGTTTCTAGATCAGTGTCCCCGGTGGGGTGCTGCCCGGCTGGGTCTCTGGCAGCTCCTGCTCCATCCTACACCCCTGACCCCTTCGACGCAACTCAGCTGGCCCAGTGCTGCCCCCTCCAGCTGCTCCCCCGGCCCCGGCAGCTCCTGCTCCCTTCTCCCCACTCCCCCTGGGAAGGTTCCCTGGCAGGTCTCCAGCCCCGCTGCTGCTCTGTTCCGTCCTTGGAAGCCCAGAGCCCAGCAAGCCCTCAGCCTGACAGGCGCCAGCCCCACCAGCCTGTGTCCCGACAGCCCCAGCCACGACCAGCTCGGTACCAGCCCTGCCCCAGGGACTTTGTCAGTGGTTCCTCATGGACAAGGGCCCAGCTCCCTGTCCCCTCACCATGCCATGTGGTCCCTCCCTGATGCTCACCGGCAGGGCCAGACCAGGGCACTGGCTGCTTGTGCAGGCAGCGCTCCCCGAGCTGCACTCCCCGGAGCTGCA